AGAAAAAAACAGAGAAGGGGGGGGGGGGGGGGGGAGAGAGAAACCTATTACACAATACAGAAATATATTTTTACATGAATCTTAACATGCCGTATGGCTGCTTGCCCTACTATTGTACAGTGCAATAAATACAAATATATTCACACTAGAAAAGGTATAACTGCCATGATCTACATCTGGTTTATGAGTACAAATTTCACCTAGTCCACAATATAACAAATTGAGCAGGAAAAAAGTGGCACTGGCAGTAACAGTCTAGTACGAAACGCAAGGCTAGAAGCAAAGTGTTTTCAAGCTACAGAAAAATTGCTAGCTTTTAATATGAGGATGTAGGACCCAATCCTGCAAGGTGCAGATCTGTGATCAGTAGATTGCATCAGAACATTTTTATTTTCCAATTTAACAATGAATACTCTGACAGTTTATTTGGCTTTGATAACCATTTATAAATAACACACTATGTCTATTAAACTATACAGCAACATGACTGACATTTATAGCCTAATCTTGAATACAAAGTTCAAAGAACATGACTACAAAGGCCAAAGAGCAAGTGTCATTGACTAAAAGCATTTCCACTTAGAACTCCATTTTATTGAATATTCTGTTACACAAACATTTCTTGATCGTGAAAGCAAAAGGAACAGGATTGCCTGTTCCACTCCATTCCAGTAGTAATTTATCCATTCACCATCTTTATAAATTAGTGATGGAATTTAATAATTAGCCCTTCAGGGCTATATATTTATATATTTTATATATATGCACTCTTACTTTGAGTTCTATGTAAAAATTGAAAAAATGTTTGAAAGAAAACTCAGAATATATCACAGCTTTTTTTCCCAGGAAAAAAATTAAGTTTTATAACCACAATTCAATTATCAAACGTTTTCTGAAGTATTTACTTTTAATTATGTACACATTACAGGAAATAAAACTTTTTCCACAAACATTCCCTAAGGTGACAGTTATCAACAGAATGACAGAAGAATAGCAGGAGGAATATTAAACATATTGAGGAGGAAGGAGGTGATCGGTTTCTGTTTTAAAAAGTAAAAAGTCACCATATAATTAAGTACAAAAACCTGCATTGAATGACAACTGCTGGTGTAGTAACTTGATCAGATATGGAGACCAAGAGTATAGTAAAGCTCTATGGTAATATTATTTCTGTAGCATTTCCACTCTGCATGTATACACTAAATGTTGGCAAAGTTTCTGTAGCATTAGCTTATGCAAACGCAGAAGTCCTCAGTCTGCTGCATAAAATGGAACAAGTATTTTCAATTCTTCTGAAATGCACCCATAATTCAGAGTGTCCCTTACAGACTGAATATTGAATGATTTCTTCAGAAAAATATCTGTTTGGCATCTCCAGGACTCTGTTCCATTGGACAATAGGGGCATTTTAATCTAGAGACAAAGACAATGTGTTAGGATTGTTTTAACAGGACAGCTGGCAGTAGTGCAACAACTACACTTTCTAGACATCTCATTGTTTTGACATGTTGAAATAACACAGCAGGAGGCATTTATGTTCACTTTGTTTATATTATAACAGCATCTAGTTCTCAATTACATTTGATGGGATAGGCAGGAAAAGGAGCCTAGATAGTCCTTTCTGCATAATAATGCTTTCTTCACTCCACTGAACAGCTCCTCTAGCTACCAAGGGACCCTAAGTCAGCATTAGAATAATTTTATTAAAGATATAATTGCTACTTACCTTATTAGTCACACCTAATTTATTAAAAACGAAGAAGTTAGATTTTCAAATTCATTTGTTTCCCTGTATAGTTGCCTTCTGCATAGTCTGGACTATGAAATTAGACTGGTCATTTACAGTTAACATCTAGACCTATGGTGTCCAATCCGCTAGCCACATGTGGCTATTTGGCCAGTTGAGCATGGCTAGTTAGCCTGAACAATATGGCTGAGTGTGCCAGAACTGGATGGACACCACGAATCCTTTCATGCACACCACAATGCTATTCTGCTGGGGTTTTGACCCCAGTGGTGAATATGAAAAACAAAACACACCCAAAACTTTCATTTGAAAAAAACCCAGCAACATTTTCCATTTGGGTTCACAAAACCCTTGTGTTACAAAATGTGAGCCTGAATTACATTGATTGTGTATTTATATGGTTCAGCTTTCTATGCTTTACAGAGGCTGTATGACCTAAAGTGAAATTACTAATAGTTGTACAGGTTCCCTTCATAAAAAGAACTTTCCTTATTTCTCACATCCCTTCCGCTTATCCTCTGCATCTAAACAGCTAATGAATAACATGAAGTTACTACAGATATTCATCTGCTCAAAGTTATTTGATATTCCAAGGATCTCCTCCATCCCACCCAACCCCTTTCCTTTTTTAAAATTTTCTTGGTATGTGATTAACCTTGCTCTCAACAGAAAACACAATGTATAGAAAACCTGACCCTTCCTGCAGCAATAATTCATTGGTAGTTAGTTCTGTAAAATGGAAGGGTACTTTTTCAAAGTGATGTAGTCCTATCTATTGAACTTCTTATACCAGGTCCTTCTGTGTGACATAAGAGTATAATATACAGACAACTCACGTTGTTGCTATTCTAGGGCACCAACAATGTTATTCTGCTTTGAAGTCAGCCATGAGACTTTCAACTAGCTTCCAGCCATTCTGTGTTTATGGAGTCTTCTCTTACCCAAGTCTCACTTTTTTAAACTTAACATTGGTCATTACCCACACTTTGCCAAAGAGATAGAATTCGACTTACTTGCTGCCATTAAACATTTTATTCAGAGCGTCTCTTGATATTATATGACCACAGACCAGTTTCATAGGTGGGTTATTATCTGTTGTTTGCTGACGAAGGATGGGACAGGCAAATATCGAGTGATACCAGCACTTTTTACCAAGGTCCACTTCAATCTGGATAACATAATACATTCAAATCACTGTGTATCTTGTGTAATCACATTTCCAGCAGATAGTCATCGCTATCTATGCATGGCCATTAAACACATTTCTATACAGTTTTTAGTGAAGCAAAATCACTTGTGAAAAGCAGGCAAAGCCTTCAGCCAGAAATATCTTAAGAGTGATCATAAATTAAACTGCAAGTTTGTGTAAAGCAGAGTATTGTGCTGATGCGCCAATTGTAGGTACAGGCCATCCCTGCTACGTGTCACGTCAGTTCTGCACTAACGTCGTCGGTGAATTTAGGAATGATTTCATTATAAGTCCTTCCATTCCTCAAGCTTACGTCATTCACAAAAAACGGAAAAATTCGCTCAAATGAAAGTCAGCCGCTTGAATGCAAATCAAAGAAATTCCTTGCTTTACATTGTTTCGTTATACGGCCACATTTTTTAGAACGTATCTTGGATGTATAGCAGGAAGAGCCTGTCTGTGTTGTAGAATAAACCAACACTGGTAGGGATATGGACCAAATGACCCCACAGGTTTCATCTGTTCTAGGCAGAGATTTCCAAAGCTGTCTTAGAGATCTGATGATTAATTTCCATTAGAAATTAACTAGAACTGATTATCCACATTCTTTAAGTGCTTTTAAACTCCCACCACTAACACTTTTATGATTCACATCCAAAGTCATGTAATGCCTTGGGATTACTCAAGTCAAAGAACAACGCAGAAGATACAGGTCCAGGCAAAAATTCCTCCACTACTCATCAGGCAAGAGAGTTGTATGATTTCAGGTACAGAAGAGTGCAAACACAGAGAGAAAAATGTGGCTCTGTGACAAAGGACCTGGGACTAGGAGCTCTCAACTTGTAATTCTGGCTTTGACATTGGTGGCTATGACAGAGTCCTTTAACCTCTTGGTATCTTTATATGGGAAATAATGTATTCCATACCTTCAGCACTGCATAGGAGTGTAGTGAACACTGACAAGGTTTGTGAAGCGTTTAGAATACACAAGAAGCTAGAAGTACTATTAACTTATCCACAGTTACTGGCTGATCCTTTGATAAACCACTTTCTTTCCAGTCATTCTTTCGAGACCACAGCTCATGAACCAGTCACCCACCTCAGACCAGATTCCAGAGTCACAATTATGGAAAGTAGTATTGGATTGATCCCAACCCAGACATACTGGGGCCACACAAGGATCCTCATGATGACAACTACAGTCAGGAATGCTAACTGTGCTGCTGCCCAGCTCAACATCTGAAGAGTTCTCCTTCTTAAAGCAGGAGCAGAGAGCCTTGAACAGTTTCAATGACATAATCCCATGGATTTTGCTAAGAACAAGTTTCTCCAGATGTGCAATTGTGGGTCTCAATTCAATTCACCAATCCCTGCACACACGGATGCCATTCCTGGTCATTTCAAGCCCACCCAGTGTTGAGGCAACACTACAGCAAGCTGTAGATGGAGCTAAATAATGGTTATCTGATTTCCCTCCACCTACCCATTTTTATGGTGGGAAACACTGCTGGCTGTTCTCGCAGATATACAGTTCACATTGACTTTTGGGGTGACAGAAAATCCATACAAACTTTCAGAATAAGAAAGACACTGAGGCTTGTTTGTTGTTTGAATCTTGGTCTATCTGAAAGTACAGCGCATACTCACCGGCAATTCATCTTTCTGGTTCCAAACTCCAGTGCACTGTCTTTGCTCGATCACAGCTTTGATATTAATTAAAGCTGGCAATGCTACACAACCTGCTGAAAAACTGCAAAATGAACAGAAATATTAGCACAGGATGTTCTTTTAAAATGAATATTTCTCTTAGCTCTACTTCATTAATAAGTAACTGGGGATAAAAGATTCTTATTTCTTCATTCCGTTCTTGCCATTTGTATTACTGCCTAACAAGCAAGGCTACAGGTTGCTAGGATTCTGGGTTCTGTTATGCACAACAAGCTGAAGGGTAACAATTTGAGTACAACACATGAATAATTTGATTTACTGTACTATTTATTGTGGTATCCACTGTCCAAGAGACAAAGGGGACTGGAAACCACACAGTTTTACATGTGGTCAAGGGACTGTTATATAACTGGCATGGCCAAAATGTCACCTGAATGTGGCCTAAGGAGTTGCAGGTACAGATCTCATTACCTATGGTCCCTGGGATTGAGACAGAGGGGGACTCTCCAGAGAATGGAGATGAGGAAGGTAATGCAATCTGCTCTGTTTATGGGTCTGTCTCCCATAGACAACCACCTAACCTCAAGATGATTCTTACCAACAACCACAGGACATACCACACTAATACCAACCCTGGTACTTTCCCTTGCAACAAACCCTGTTGCCAGCTTTGTCCACATATTCATTCTGCTGACACCATTATTGGGCCTAGCCAAGTGAGTTATAAGATCAAGAATACATATTCCTGCGCATCCGGAAATATAATCTATGCTATCATGTGCCGAAAGTGTCCGTCTGCTATGTACATTGGATAAACGTCTCAGACACTTCGCCAAAGAATCAATGCCCACAAAACAGACATTAGGATCACAAAGAAAAAACAGTTTCTTGCCATTTCAACCAGAAAGGACACTGTCTCAATGACCTAATCACATGCATCCTACTTCAGAAGACATTCAAATCTGCACTTGAAAGGGAATCCTCTGAACTGGCATTCATGCTAAAATTCCACACTCTCCGCAGGGGGCTGAACAAAGCCCCCAACTACCTTACCCATTACAAAGATAGCTTCCCCAATTATCACCTCTAATACCATTAACTCACAGACATCTCCCCTTCCCCACCTCTAATATCATTAACTCACAGGCATTTACCTTCCTCCCCCCCCCCCCCCCCGCATCCTCCCTCTGTTCTGAAATGTGATTTGTCCTTTTCATATGTGTTCATTTTTTTAAATTGTATCCTTTGGTATATATGGTTGTGACTATTTTCTTCCACTATTTGATCTGAGGAAGTGGGTCTGGCCCACGAAAGCTCATCATCTAATAAGCCATCTTGTTAGTCTTTAAAGCGCTACATAGTCCTGTATTTTGTTTCAGTTACACCAGACTAACAAGGCTACATTTCTATCACCATTGATGTGCTATGTTGCTTTGGCAAAGTGATTCCACTATTTGTGCCAGTTTTATCATCTGTGAAAATAATCCTTCCTTTCTTCACAGGAACTTTGAGAGAGCTGGTTGTTAAAAATGCTTTTAGAATGATGCCTGTGGCCTGGACATCTGTGGAGACTACACCTGGAACTGCTGGATCTGAAAGCATGAACCTGTAGCATCTGAGCTAAAGAATCAAAACCACTATTTCAGATGCAGTACCTAATTCAACCATTATCTGTAGGCCTCTAACAAATTCAGGCATGAAAAACACATCACGGATCATGAAATCTGGTCTTTTGTGTGCTTTTTTACTATATAAATTTCACAGGGGAGATGAGCATTTCTCAAACTGGAGGTCCTGATCTAAAAGGGGACTGTGGGGAGTTTACAAGACTATTTCAGGGGGGTTACAGTATTGCCACCCTTACTTCTGTGCTGCCTTCAGAGCTGGGCAGTTGGAGGCTGGCAGCTGTTGGTGAGGTGCCCATGTCTGAAGGCAGCACCCTGACCAAAGAAGTACAAAATTAAGGGTGGCAATAACATACTATCCCTTTCTTACTTCAGCACTGCTTCTGCCTTCAGTGCTGTGCTGCCAGCCAGCAGCCACAGCTCTCTAGCCACCCAGCTCTGAAAACAGCACTCCTGCCAGCAGCAGCACAGAAATGAGAATAGCAGTACCTATCCGAGGAGCGGGAAACCTTTTTTGGATCGGGGTCCGCTGACCCACAGAAAAAAAAAAAAATCGGTCAGAGGCCATACACAAGTGAGAGGCAAAAAAAACCCCTCACTTATGTGGCCCCCAACTGAGAAGAAAGACACTCCCCACATTCCCCTGGTCTACCACAGCCTAGCGGGGACCAGCCTAGTAGATTTTGTGTGCGCCAACCCTGCAGAAGGGCAGCAGCAGGGCAGGAGCACCAGTGCAGGCTCCCCCATGCCAAAGGGACCCCGAGCCTCCGGGGTCAGATCCAGGCAAGCCGGGGGCCACAACTGACCCCTGTGCCTGAGGTTCTCCACCCCTGACCTACCCTCACTTGCCTATAACAACCTTGCAAACCACCCGGTCCCAACACACCCAGAGAGCTCCTTTTGGGGTCAAAACCCCTAAAATTACAACACCATGAAATGTCAGACTTAAATAGCTGCAATTGTGAAATGTACTATTTTTAAAAACCTATGACTGAAATTGACCAAAATGAATCATAAATTTTGATATAGTTTAGCCAGGAGTCAGAGACAAAAAGCTACAGCGTTAGCCTACATTACCTTTGTAAGATTTATATTCTGTACAAAGAAAAGTGTCACCTCACCTAGTAGTCCTAGAAGAAAACGTCTGTGAGGAATGTCAGAGAGCCGTCTGAAAGCTAACAGTAGCTAAAAGAAATTGATTTAGTACATGACTATTTTTGGCCTGAAATTCAAAGAGCCCAATTCAAAGCCCACTGGAGACAATGGGAGTCTTTCCACGGACTTCAACAGGTTTGGATAAGGCCCCGAGGGCCCCAGTAGGATTGGAACCCCATTAGTGAAAGCCACTGAACAGCCATAAAAAAAAGAAATGGTCCTGTACAAAAATTTTAGAAAACTGTGTAGACAGGGTTTATGTCAAACTGGTTTAATTTTTGAAGTATTTGCTACGTATAGGCAGTAGCCACCTTTTAGAGCTATCTTGTTTACGCTATGAACAACACCTGCCCAATAAAAAGATCATAGTTCAATTGATTTCATTTTGGGCCCAAAACAGCTGCCTGCTCAACATAAGAATCAATAAAAGGGAAGAGATTTTTCCACCTCAGTGGTAGCAACTCATACACTTGTACTGATAATGAACTGTGCACATTACACAGTCAATGCAAGGGCCATTAAAATGTCAGTGAGTGACTATTAATTTGCTGCATATTGTTCTGGAAGGAAAAGAGATGCACTAAAAATCTATTACAGGGACACAAATTCCTTACTGCTCATTTTTACATCCACAGTCTAAAATGAATCAAGAAACACTGCTACAGAAGGAGGAAGATTCAGGCATACTTCTCCTTTCCATTCTGCTGCTTCTTTCCAATGCATGAGCCTGGCCCAAAAAGAAACAGGCCCACCAAAAATCAGTTAATACTATTACTTGGGCAGAGATTACTGAAATGTCTGTGAAATGTTGCTGTAGTGAGTTTGTACCTCCCAACTAAGCAGCAAAGTAACAGTAACAAGCAGATAACCAATAAACAAATAGCGGGTTGCATTTGCATGTGATTGAGTCCACCGAAAGACAAAATCCATTGCTCATTACTCATCTAACCTCTAAGGATAGCCCGGTATGGTGCATTTGGGGGATCAATAGCTCAAAATCTGAGTGGTAGTTAATTCTTCAATTAATTCTGTCTAGGTAAGGGATGGTTTAAGACTTGACTGCTGTAGGTCACTATTCTTGTGACGAAAAATCTAATTTCTCTATTTTCAGTTAAACACGATGTTATTCATGTTCACCACTGACTGGGAAATACCAGTTCTCAGGAAAGTGTAACATTTTATCTTTGTAAATCTTGAAGTCTCATGAGGGGATTGTAAATTTTACCTGCTGAAGTCACATTTTAGTGTTTTTAGAAACAGAACTTCAACACAGAACCAATGTGAAGTGAGAAAACTGAATTAAAGATAACAAAACTGATGAAAAGAGCTAGCAGGTAGATAACTGGTTGAGGCTTTTTCATTTTTAAGTGTCAAGTTGTGATACAAATTTTCATACACTTTTCCTAGCTCAAGGTGGCTGGAAGCCATCCTCATCTTTAATATGGGTTTGTAACATACAGAAGCTAAGAGTCCCAGCACACAATGTTCCATTCTCAGCTGAGCAGAATTGGCTACTTGGCTCAGGATACAGTGCATGCTGGAACCTGTAGTCTTACAACTGGCTCTATTTAATGCTGTTAGACAACTTTCTTGTATTCCTGTCAAATTAGCATGGCAGCTGGGAAGAGCTTAGGCACCCTGGCTTTCAAAACATTTCAGTGGGAGCGAGCGTACCTAACACTGAGAGGTGATTCAACTGAGAGACCAAGGAGAGCACAGGCGTCCCTCGTAAAGATGTCACAGATGTCTGCCCACTGGTTTGCATCTAGTAGATGAACATATGGAGAGTTTTCTATACCTTGTCTCAGGTACACCAGGCTGCCCATCAAAACCTGAATATCTGCGGACAAAAACCACATCTTTAGTTATTACATTTTACAATGCTTTATGCTACAATGGGAAGATTAGTCTGAGCTTTTCCCCTTTCACAGGAAATAAACATAATTTAACAAATATCAAGTCAACAACATATACCAAGGCAACTAATGATAGTTGTGTTACAAGAGATTCAAAAATATATACGCACTTCAATACTAAATATGGGCATGAGTGTCATGGAATAGATATCTTTCTGTAACCAGGATATGCGCGTCTGCTATCACCTCCACTAACCTGATTCTACCAACTAGACTTCCATTTGCCAAATGCCTGAGCACCTTTCGGATGTCAGTTTCTGCTTATTTAGAAAGGCTATTAGTAAGAATGTTTACTTCTCATCTACCAATCAGTGAAAGGAACCTGGATGAGGTTGGAACTCGGATTATTAGTCCAAAATTCCGGACTACAGACAGGTTTGTTTTGTTTTTTTAAAAAGATCAGATGTCTCACAAATTACTCAGACAAGTGATGCTGCAGCTGGAATTCCATTCTTCAACAGGAAACAAATCTGTCTCCAACTCTGGCACAGCAGAAACACTGGTATCATAATACCTGGATTTACAGAAATATACTCTTCCTTTTTAAAAACATTTGTTGAGGTTTTTACAATTTCTTCACACTAATTTCTCTTTCTGTCCATACAGCTGTACTCATGTTAATAGGACAATCTTCCTATACTGGCAGAAGGATATGGAAAACTAGTTCTGATTGAGCTTTCAATGCTCCCTAGCACTTTTCTAAAGTAGTTATTCTGTAAGCTTTGTGACATATGTAGTAGAGCTATGCAGCTTGGTGCACTGGGCCTGGTACAAGATCTGAGGCCTGAACTAGAGGCCGTGAATCAAAGTCAGGCCATGTATTAAAGTAGATGCTTACAAGTTCACCGCCCAGCCCATGATCTTGGCAAAGTTGTTGCTAGATAGTTACAAAATGTATTCCAGCTAGTACAGCTATATCCCAATCTGGGACAGGTTGGACCTCCCTAGTCCAGCACCTTCGGGATCTGAGTGATCCTAAACCAGGGAGTTTGCCCGATCAAGGGAGGTTAAGGCTCCCCTCCCAGCCCTTAGCCCCACTTCGGCCCTGCTCCTGGGCACCAGCCATACTCACTGGGCTCTGCTCCTGGCCCCAGCTGGACCCTGCTGTGTTCCCAGCTGCCAGCCCCAGCCAGGCCTGCACTCTCAACCACTGGCCCTACTGCCACCAGCCCAGCACTCCTGACCCAAGCTAGCCCCCACTTCCAGTCACTGGGGCTCTTTGGTCTAGCAATATTCATGGTCCTGCCAGACCACAGATGTTGCCGGACCAGAGACTTCTGGATTTTAGAGGTTCAACTTGTACAAGAAAATAATGAATCTTTCGTCCAAGATACCAGAAACAAGGGCAGTGGCAAGCACGTCATGAAATATGAAAGAAAGCCTCTAAATTGTGTATGCCAAAAGTCTGTCCCAGTCTAGAGATGCCAGAGTACTTTGCCATACTCCTTTGTCCAGCAGAGGGGGCAGCAGAAAGTCCCACTGCTGACTGACCTGAATCCATTGTAACGGGCATATACACACGTTAGTATAACTGTAAACACTGCTCCAGGGAGCTAGTTCCATTCTTCGTGGACAATGAACCTGGCCGAGTGCCTTCACCCCCAAACTGGATCTGTGGACCTCCTTTATGAGTAACACTGAGGTCTGCTGAACTACCATGCTGCACTATCTGATAATAACATTGAAGCTACAAGGACAGAAGCCATGAGGCGCCTAAACAGTGCTACAACATTCCAGCCTGCAGCACTTAACCAAGCTAGCCTATCTGTGCAGAGCTGGACAGCACATTGAAAGAACAACATAAACAAACTATACAATGGAAAGGAATTGAGCTTTATTGGCTTTCATTTGGGATGGCATGTCTAATTCACTCAGGGCTTCCCAGCTTGTCAAGAGATGAAGTTATCTAAAACTTGTGACCCAAAAACCCACCCTTTACATGGTCACACACTCCTGCAATACCAGATGTCTGTCCAAACAGTATGTGTGTGCATTTTTGTATACTTTCACTTGTCAATGTATCTAAGAAACATTAGAGGCGATCTAAATAGAAACTTACAACATTATAAGCATAGTTTGAATACATCTGATTTACAATTGATAGGTAACTGCTTTTTCTGTTCTATGTATCTTGGATTTGGTTATTTCCACTCTAACTCGTCTGATGAAGTGGGTTTTACCCACAGAAGCTCATGATCCTATATATTTTTGTTAGTCTCTAAGGTGCCACATAGTTCTTTTTAAAGTTACAGACTAACGCAGCCACTGCTCTGTGACTTTATATTTGCGTTTAAAAGATAAAAACAATTCAAGCAGTCAGGATTCCAGAACATGTCAAGATATGGTGACAAGATTCAAAAGTATTAAAATGATGGGCAAATAAAAAGTTCCATAGCAGCCAGTTTGAAGAAATTAGCTACGGGTTGAACCTCTTCTAGTCTGCCCCTTCGGGACCCGACCAGTGCTGAACCAGAGAAGTTGCCAAACCACAAGAAGTCAATATTGTAAGGAGTGGGTCTCTACTTTTATTTTAACAAGGCAAATAAATGGAACAGTACTTATAATGCTTCATAATAATGCATGACTGTACTGATACAGCCTATGCAAGCCTATGCACAGCCAAGACTTATCAGTTCTCTTATAACAAAGTGTTAGTGTTATTATAAAACTTTACTATATTGACACAAGGAAATAAGTAGATAAAGTATAAAAATATGCTTATGCTTAGCAGCATTATCAGCACTTCCACTGCTTGCTTGGCTCTTAGAAGACATTAATGATTATTTTAGAGCTAAAAAACAGCACAGAACCCAGAGCTAGGACTGGTGGATGTAAACAAACAAACCCATATCCACTGTAAGTGGACAACCAATTAATTAAAATCATGCCGGACCATGGATGTTGCGGGACCAGAGAGTTTCAATCTGTAGTTGTGGGAGATGTTGCAAAGCAGGAGGGAATCAGAGGTGTGGGAATGCAAGTGGATGGAAGAGGTGAGAGGGATAAGGAAGAAAGAAAAGCAAAACATCAGATGAGTGACTTTAGAGAAGTGTCAAATCAATAATATATTCAGGTTGTCTCATCTCTCAATCCTTTCACTGTAGTAGATGGAGTGTCCATGTCCAACCTGATCATTGTCACATTCAACTAGTTGTAGCCTAAAGATTATACCAGCTATATAAAGTAAGGATGTAGGAGGTGTGACGAGACCGCACAGAAAGAAGGCCAATTGACACTTCAGATGGAGGAATATACCACCAGTCTTCCTAATATGCAATTTCCACCTGCTCACTTTCCAACTACAGGTAGGACCTCCTGGGTCCAGCACCATCCCGAATGCCACTGGCCTCCCAGAATACTGCCCCTCCCTTTGGCTGGCTCTGCTCCAGCCCCACTGCCACTGGGTTCCAGCCCTGCTACTACAGGGCTTGGGCTCGGTATGGAGCTCCCTAGCCGCTGCGGTCCTACTTCTGCCTCACTTAGTTGAGGCTTCTCAGGGACAGGCCTCTATGGCTGCCCCGATTCTGTCCCGCCCAGGGCTCTCCTGGACGGGGCTCCACAGACACAGGGCTCACTGGTCCCACTGCTGCCCTGCCTGGCCGGGGATCTCCGGGGACAGGGCTCTGCAGCTGCCCCACTGCTGCCAAGCCAGGACGGGGCTCCGCAGAGATGGGGCTCACTGGTTCCCCTGCTGGCCTGCCTTGCTGGGGCTCTCCAGCAGTCGGGCTCACAAGTCTGATGCTGGGGCTCCCCTCTGTTGTACTTCCTGACTGGCTCACATTCCCGGGCACTGGGGCTCTCTGGTCCAGCAACATCCATGATCCTGCCAGATCACGGATGTTGCCAGACCAGAGAGTCCCAGATTTAAGATGTTCAACCACCTGTAATGTACTTATGCTTAAAGTATGTGTGCAATTATTTTGTGGCTGTAATTCCACTTTGTGGTTTCTGGAGAGATGAATATTTAACTCAACCTGCTCTTCACTTACTTCAATGCTCTATTGCCACTCTATAGCAGCTCTTAGCACATTATTCCTTGTGTTTGTTAAGGGTCAAGAGTTTGTTGTGGCATTACGACTTGCTCTTGAATGTATTTTTATATGAAAAAAGCATCCACATCTTCCCCTGGAAATGTAAATAAGAGACTTGACAAAACAGAGCAACAGAATAGACAAACGCAACTCAGACTGACTGCCACGTACTGAATGTTTTACAAATTCAAAAACCATCTAAAACTCACTCACCTTTCTGATGGTTTACAGCAAATGGCTGAAAGTTTTTAGCATACTGCAATGCCTCTCTCTGATTTGCTGTTCCACCCATCAGTAAACTAATGAAGTAGAGCCTGTGTAGTTTAAATTCCAAGGAGCTATTCTGGGCCATAAGCATTTCTCGGTTAGATACCGCCCACCTAAAGGAAACAGGAAAAAAAAATCAGTTTCAGCCTATAAGAATACAAAACTGTTAACATTCTAACATGCATTTCAAGGAGCATCTCAATAAGAACATGGCTTCATATCCTGCACTTCCATTATAACACCCAGTGCTTGGGGTATCTCAAAACACTTTACAAATAATTAAGCACAGGCAAGGAATACATATAAATATGAAGGAATCACTTAATCCACCACTGAAACCTCTTCTGACAGCACGCAATAACAGTACCCGACAACCCAGAACAGGAAGTATACAGTTTATATCAAGCAAAAACTGTAGGTGGAGTCTAATTAAGCAGAATACAGAGCTGGAATTTGACCAAGACACTGGACTTAATATCCATGTTTCTATAGGATCTTTAATAGGCACACACTGTCAGGACCTCTATTTTACATAACATCCAGAGACTGAACCTATAAGAACACGGTGCCTCTCCTCACACTCTTTAGGTATCATCTACTGAATCACTAGCACTATGGATGTGCGCCTGAGTAGTCTCCACTGGGAGCTCTTTAAGACAGACCTTACTAACACCTGACATTTCAAAAAAATCTTTAACAACTAAACTTTGTACTGATTATGCTATTATTGTATTTTCTCTGTTATCGCCAGCTTGAACAATTAAAATACCCTCGAAGATCTCCCTTTCCTCCTGCCATGCACTATTACAACACTGCAATTTGGAATTCCAAATGCCACAGAGAAACGTGTACACATGAACCAAATAAAATGCAACAGAACATTCTAAAGAGTTTCATGGAAACATTGATATTGTTTAGGTTTTATGGAATCTTATTCTGATATTTTAAACAGGGCTGGGCCTAAACCAATCTGATATTGTTCCTTTAAAAAGCCTTTTGATAAAGCCCAAACGCTAGTAAAATCAGTCACACCTGTTTGTTATTAGTGTTAATTAAGGATACCAGCTTTTTATCTGGAGTCCCATTAAGCTAGGAAAGCAACTTTTCACCTCTCATCAACAAAGTGATGTAGCCAATCATGTATTTTACAAGGAAGAGCTGGGTAGCATACAGGTGAAATTAACAATCCAAAAAAAGCAAGGAAATAAAGCACCCTACCATTCTACAATGTCAAAAATACTTCAATCACTTCAGTCTACATACAGAGGAAGATAGTAGCTGCTGCTATTGGTCTTCCAGGGTTTGAATTAGTGGTCTAGTTAAGACAGCTAATTTGAATTGAGAAGGGCACTTTGGTTGATGCAGGTTACACTCTGCTTCCACAAGGAGTAAGAGAAGTTGAAGGCAGTGTAGACAGCACCAAAAGCTGAGTTAAGCTACTTGGATTTCAGCTACGCAATTGATGTAGCTGAAGCTGTGTATCTTAATTCGACTTTGTCCTGCAGTGTAGACATACCCTTAGTGAAAATCACCTATGTAAGCAGGTCTTACACCTCCAGACAAACAAATGTATACTTTCATTTTATTGCAATGACAGTGTCACGATCCTGACTTACGCACTGTGGGCTTGAGACCAGGACTGTTGACTAGAACTTTTAATTATGCCTGGTGGATAAATAACTTTCACAATCAGCAGAGATCCTATAAATCCATTTGACATGGGAAAATGCAGAGTTTGCATGATTACAAAGAAAGGGGGAGGGGAGAGACTTCTCCAGTGGAACCACCATTTATCTGCTCTAATTAGGACCAGGGACAGATCGAATAATCAATAAGTTGGATAAATCAGGAGAACTGTCAAAGAGCTCTTGATCCCCTATTTCAAGATGGAAGCGAGAGGCTCAGGTGGTTTGCCCCACGTGGCAGGGGCTCAGGCAGAGCCTCAGCCATCCCAGGCTGACAGCACAAGTCCTACTGTTGGTTTGGCCGTAATGGAGAACTGGATAAGGGAGGCTCAAATAAACAGGTTCTACTATATGGAATGCAGACACAGGTAAGACATTGAAATTGCAATTCTACTGATTTTATTTTAGTACATAAGAATGGCCATACTGGCATTTTGCTTTTGCTGGCAGAGAGTATGCTAATGAAGCGCTCATTAGCAACTTCTCGCGCTTCATTTGCATAATATCTGCCTGAGGCTTTTTGTGCAAGAGGTTTCTGCGCAAAAACTAGCAGTGTAGACGTATCCATTTTGCACAAAAAAACCCCTTTTGCGCAAGACCCGTATGCCTCAAAAAAGGAGGTACACAGATCTTGTGCAAAAGGGGTTTTTAGCACAAAACGGATCCATCTACACTACTAGTTTTTGCGCAAAAACCTCTTGCGCAAAAAGCCTAGGGCAGAAATTATGCAAATGAAGTACTAGAAGTTGCTAATGAGCACTTCAATAGCATGCTCTCTGCCAGCAAAAGCCAGCAGTGTAGACATAGCCTGACAGTGACTAATGTCAGGTGCCCCAGAGGGAATGAATAGAACAGGTAATCATCAAGTGATCCATCTCCTGTCACGCATTTCCAGCTTCTGACGAACAGAGATTAGGGATACCATTCTTGCCCATCCTGGCTAACAGCCATTGATGGACCTATCCTCCTTGAATTTATCTAGCTCTTTTCTGAGCCCTGTTAAAGTCCTGGTTTTCACAACATCCTCTGGCAAGGAGTTCCACAGGTTGACTGTGTATTGAAGAATAGTATGAAAGATGGCACTAGTAGACACTGAACTTGCTTAAAAACTATAAATACATAAATAAAACATTGCGTTCAACTGATACCTGTATATACCGTGACTACGGAAACTAATGTTTAGTGTTCCATTTTAATCACAGAAAAACATGTTTTTTAAATCGGAGAATTTTCTTTTTTTTTTTTCTTTTTTTTTAAATTGTGGAAAACCAGGATCTCTGGAAATCAATAAACCTAGTTGCTTGAATTTCAGTGGTGTGCTGTGGAACTCAAGTCATGGCTACATTGCTGGGAAGATTGATGCTGTGGCGGTTGATGTTCCAATGTTCAATTTAGTGGGTCTAGTGGGGACACGCACAATCAAATGCAGAGAGCGCCCCTGTCAATACTAGTATTCCTCGCGACAGCGTTTCTCGCATCAACTTCCCACAATGGGGTCGACTCCAGCTATATTATTTACATAGCTGTAATTGCATACGTTAAGCTGACCTTCCTCCATAGTGTAGATCTGCCCTCAGAGGGTTCAGCCCACCCAAGTCAGTCAGCACTGCACTCTCCACTAAGTGGCTTACATCATGAGTATCAAGAAAATATACATGGTACAGACCTCGGCTGGCTATTAGGGATGTGAATGTTAAACCGGTTAGCCTCACCGTTAATGGGTGAGGCTTACTGGTTAAGGTTAACTGGTGAGTGCTGAACAGCTCCCACCAGCAGCAGGCAAAGAGGCTCCCCCCCCCACTTTAATCAGTTAACCAGTTAAACAATATGTTTGACCGGTTAACCAATTAAATGGGATTTTTTTACTTTGACTCCACTGTTTGAAAAGGCCTTGCCAAGTCTCAGATATTTGTTACTGTTTTCACCTGCTCTCTCCACCATTTTGTCCTTTTCAACTAATTGAACACTGTACCTTCTCCTGCCTGGCTATGATGCTGTAATTCAGGGCTATTCAGCTTTGGAAGCCCCAGGGGCCACAATGATACAGCACATGCCAGGGGCCACAACATAAGTGTGGTTGCATATACATGCAAATAGCTTCTTTCACACTGACGGGCATGAATACAAAGCACTTCCCACAATGCCCCAGCACTCCCGGCACCTCCTCCCTGGGGGCTAGAAATGCTGACACCCTGCACTTGTATGTTCCAGACAGCCCGTCCGCTTGCGTCTTTCAATGCTAACCCCGCCTGGGAAATGCCTCGCCATTGTGAAGTGTTTTCCCAGTGGAGGCCATGTTCAAAGGATCCCACCTGTGTTGAGCCCTTCGTAAACCCAAAATGCATCGCGGGCTGCAAACAAACAGGCCGTGGGCCGCCACGGGCCACGTGCTGAGTAGCCCTGCTGTAATTTATGATCCTTTCCCTATTTCCTCCTTTATGCTCCATCGATATCAGGGGCACTGCCCTGGGATCAGGTCAGCAGAGCACTTGAGACTGCCATTTACACATTTCTTTTACAGCTATATTTAATGTTGTCAGTCTCGCCCGCCCATGGTGTTGGCTTCTCACACAAGCATTGCCATGCCTCCTTCTCTGCTGCCCCCTTGCATGGATAGAACCTTCCTGAGCTCACCCACAAGGCCTCTACCCTTCCCAAACTCACGTCCCTTCTACAGCTCCATTTTTGCTGTGACACCCATGAGAAACTAGCTCACTAATAATCTCTACTTTGAAGAGTAATTGGGAGTGGTTTACGATACCTGTTTATTTGTTTAAAACGCTGTTCACATCCCTTTTTATAATAAAGAGGTGATTAACTACCACTTTGATCACTCTCCTTATAAGCTGCACTACTTTCTTCCACCCTCTGTCTGTTCCTCTGCCTTTGAAATATGAGCTCCTTGGAGAAAAAAGACCAGGCCTCCTCTCCTGTTTGGCAAGTGCCTAACACTTTGTGGGAGGTACCAGAAATAAACAAGTTGCTATGAGCAAGGCACAGGGTATTTCCTGGAACTATGTAGCTAGCTGGAGCAAGAGGAATTGATGCTCTAAGGTGCAGATGATACTCAATAACAGCAATCAAGTATCAATCTCTAGGTAATGCCCTTTACTAAGCTCATGCTACTATTATAACAATAAGAAATAGGGATATGTAAATGCCACATGATGCAGTTTCAATTGGTACATCCAGGTTCTCATTAGATAATTAATGCCCTATAATTATCCAGTTTAGTGGCACTGAACCAGCTCAACATTCCATTCAGCTTAGCATATTCCATGAGTAATTATTTATGCTATCCTTCTCATGTTCTATAAAGATGTCAGTACTCAATGCATCTGGATAATGGCTTAAACTTCACAGTGTCGATTCATTCAACTTTGGTACCAACATCATATTCACAGATTTTCAAAATAGAACTATAAAACTAGTTATGAGTGAACACAAGTGTTGGGGGAGGAGGGAAGGGGACATCTTTGCTCATATGAAAATGATTTAACTGAACAATGAAGAAAACTGGGTATCCTGAATGCATGATCATATGCAATAAAATGTATTTTAACTCATTTTTGGTCTTGTTTTATTTATGTAAGAGAGAAGCCAAAGTTAAATTACACTCCGGTCATCTGAAGAAGTATACTGTGCCCATGAAAGCTCATGATACCATCTATATGTTTTGTTAGTCTATAAAGTGCTACCAGACCAGTTTTTGTTTAAGTTTATTAGGGAATCTGATGTACAACAAGAACCAGATTCCAGTCCCAAATAGAGACGTAAAAGCCTGATCAATCAGTTAACCAATTAAATGTTAGGTTAACCCAATGTTTACCTGGTTAACCGACTAAGCAGGCTCCCAGCCCCAGCTCTAGGGCTGTCCTCCACCCACGGCAGGCACTGGTTAACTGGTATTTGGTAAGAATCACCCATTAAGGGGAAATGCTTACTGGGTAACTAATTACTCATTCACATACCTAGTTCCAAAAGCTCTTCTGAGGTTGCACGTTTACTGAAAGTTGTACAGCATAGTCTAATCAGTTATTCATGGTCTGGAAGGGTAAACAACTCTTCTTTATTGTCTACTTACCCTTATAGGTCAGTTCAAGAGCATGTTAGATGGTCTTTGCTTGCACATGAGATACCTTTTCCCCACTGGCTCTCGCCACTAGTAGAAAATAACTTTGTCCAAGAGCAGGACTTCATGTGCAATCCAGTTTCCCAAACTGACTTCAGATTAACCAAAACAGAGCAAAACTCTAGTGTAAACCTAACACTCACTTATCACTGGCCCATGAAGAGCACCTATTCTTCAAACCACTCTTCCTCCATCCCCTAATTTTCCCTTCTCCTTATCTCTCTTATCTGTGTTTTATTGGTAAAGCTGATTAAATGAATAGCTGTGAACACAATACTGCAGGCCCTGAGCATCCTCAGCCCCCATTAACATCACTGGGAACAGGGGGTGCACAGCCAGGAAGTACATGACACTCGCTACTGTTAGACCCTTTTTGAATAAGCTGACAGTGTTTTGTTGTAACCTAGGTAACATTTCATTGTTTAAGGCATACAACTGTATCCGTAACTGACACAGTTTTGCCTGAAAGCTTAAATTAATAATAGGATTATACCATGTGCGATTCAAATTAAGCATTCAACTAGGAGAAAGAACCTGGAAATTCAGCACTAGTGGGGGGGAAGGGGGGGAGAGAAGGCCAACAAAATATCATCTAAACCTCCTATAAGCCATGTCTCCCTTTGTAAAGCGTATTATAGCGAATGCCAAGATTTCCACCACCCTTTAGATTTTCATTTATTCAAATAAAGAAAACTGAGTAACTCACTCTAATGCAGGTCTCAAAACTCTAACTTTTAATGCTTCCAATATTCGATTTAGCTCCACAAATGGTTCTTTTTGACTTTGGTCTATAGAAAGACCAGATTCCTGAAAAACAAAGTAACACCTTTGAGTTGTCAGAAAAAGGGCCAGAAAATCTTACAAAATACTATCTCATTTTTTAAATGATTTACACTTTAATACTCCAGTTGAGACTTTCGGGTATCAAAATTAAAGATGCTTATCTGGGGTGTAATTTCTACTTCTTGATAACATTAAGCATCCTGAGCTATGGTTACCTGACAGAGCTCCTCAGCGACATCCAGCATCCCTTGGCGGAAAAAATGTTCTACCATCACCTCATTGAGAATTCGCTGGCTGTCAGCTTGCCAGCATCCATCTATCCCCACGCTGCTGATGTCAGAGTCAAAATTCTGAAATGTACAAATTAACATTTAATAGGCTGGAACAAATAACTCCATGTAATTATTCTTTAATTAGGCAGACACACCTGTGTCTACACTCTGACGCTTTCTGCCTGTCATTCAGCTGCTCTTAATTATCTCCCAATCTAAAAGAAACATGCTTCATTATCTTCTATGTGCGGTGAGAAGAAATCCTCACTTGCTTGAAGTCTGAAATGTATCCAATATAAGGAATTATGCTGGCAAATTACAAATCCAGTTAACTAATAAAAGAATTTTCAGCCCATGGAGTGTCCAACAGAGAAGATTTTTCTATATATGAAGTATTAAAAGTCTTGATGACCAAAACTAAATCAGCCAGGCTCTATCCACATCAAGACTGATGCTGTGCTACAAACATTACTTACTAGCACAGTTGCTCTGGTGGAGGGAGTTAGCAGTGAAAGCTTTAACTCAAGAGACAAAGACGAAGAAGAAATACCCAAAAAGAGGATAATGATGTGATTCAGAAACGTGGCTGATGCTATCAATAACCTGGCTTGATATACTCTAATATCTGATAAATCTTTTCCATTTTCATACCACAATAATCCACATTATTGGTGCATCTTCAAGCCTATGACCTACAAATCCCAGGAATAAATTAACATATTGTCAGCGATAAGATACTTCTCTTGGCAACAGAAAGGTGAAATCCAACCTAGACCTCCCACATTGTAACTTGAGACCATTGCTCCACGTTCTGTCATCTGTCACCACTGAGAACAGCCTCTCTCCACCTCTTTGGAATGCCCTTCAGGTAGTAACTTGAGACCATTGCTCCCCGTTCTGTCATCTGTCACCGCTGAGAACAGCCTCTCTCCATCTCTTTGGAATGCCCTTCAGGTAGTTGAATGCAGCTATCAAATTCCCCCCCTCTCGCTCTTCTCTTCTATAGACTTAATAAGCCCAAATCCTTCAGCCTCTCATCGTACATCATGTACTCCAGCACCCTAATCATTTTTGTTGCCCTCCGCTGGACATTCTCCTAAGCATCCACATCCTAATGAGGGGCCCAGAATTGGACGCAATACTCCAGATGTGGCACCACCAGTGCCAAATAGAAGGGAATAATCACTTCAGTTTCCTATACTACTTTCTAAAGGATAGCCCCTGGGACTGTGAAGCAATGCTCAGCTTCTTGCTGCCTGACTGTGGGCAGGTAACTTATCCACTGTGTGCCTCAGTTACCAGTCCGTAAAGTAGACCTAATGCCACCTCAGAGTTTAATTAAAATATGTAGGAGCACTTTGAGATCTCTGTATAAGAGACTATAGAGGCACAAAGCGATTTCTCTCTATTCCCTAAGTCTGTGAACCACCTCATTGCTCTTATTTCAGCTCAAGACCCTGAGTGAAGGCAGACAACCCTTCCCCACTAACTGCACCAAGATCTACAAGAGGAGGGGCAAAGGAAGAATCACTCACTCAGAGAGTTCCCTCTGGAGAGACAATTCTCCAAAGGTGGGGCAGATGCTGAAGCTCAAAGGGTTCAAAAAAAGCATCCATTCCTGTGTTTGGCCATTACCAAATGCTTTCCTGACTCTCCGGGTCACAATGTTGGGGTCACCCCCTCTCTATATATCTCTACACATACAGGCTGCTAAGTTTTGCTACTACTTTCTCTGCAACATCTTAAAAGTCTAACCTACCTTTACTATGCTAAAATATTTATCCACACACTGGTTTTCTCTGGCATCAATTACTGAAACACTTTCGTCTTCTCCAGTCCATCTAAAATGCAGCTGCCAAAATTCTCGTTCGTCTGACCATCTCAACCCTCTCTTCTAATCCATCCCTCCACTGTCTCTCCCTTGTCTCTTTGGGAGACTCTAGAATCCTGGGTCAATCTGTTACCAGGTGCTAGAACCTTGTAAAATGGTGCTACTGAGATATGTTAGATGGATCATTTGCTCCAACTGAAACATCAGAAAAACAATAGTATCTCTCCTGGCAGAGGAAATTAAGAATATAGACGCTGTCCTACAGGGAAAGCTTAACTTGAGGCTGAACTAAGTTTTGTTGCTTTAGTTAACAATGAAGCAAAACTAGGGATGTATGTGAGTACAGGAAGTCCCCGGGTTACGTACAAGATAGGGACTGTAGGTTTGTTCTTAAGTTGAATTTGTATGTAAGTCGGAACTGGTACATATTGTAGGGGAAACTCTAGCCAGACATTTCTCCAGAGCTCAGTTTTATTCTTCCACACCTCACTTCCCTCAGTCCTGCAGACCAGGGAGACGCGGAGCGGCTTTTCTCGCCGCGGAGGACGTGGGCGGCGGGACCGCGGCGCGTCTCGGCGGTCTGCTGGGGGGGTGGCACAGCTAGTGCGGGGTGGCCTCACCCCGTTTGTAAGTAGGGATCCGATGTAAGTTGGATCCATGTAACCCGGGGACTGCCTGTAGTTAAGTAACAGACTACTGGCATTCCGCCCCTCCTCCCATGCCAACGCTGCTTCTGTATCACAGGCAGCAAGAGGGGGCAGGAGCCAGTACAGGGGGGAGCCAGTTTAAAAGAGGAAGCAGCATGGGGTAGGGGGAAGGCTGCCATGAAGCAGCCTCTGCCCGTGGCAGGCCCAGGCTCACCGTAGACAGAGGCTGTGTCACATCCTAGCCACCACAAACAGAGGTTGCTCCAGGAGCAGCCCGCAAACAATTAAATGTAGTAAGAACCACCCAGCTGCAGCAGTCCCAGACCAGTGCAAGCCAGGACTACCCAGTCCTGGCTTGCACTCGGTCTGTGAGCTACCCCCCCACTGCGGCTCTACAGTTTAAATGTAGTAAGAGCCGGGTTGCCTTCCTACCTGACTCTTACTACATTTAAACTGCAGAGCCACAGCGTAGGTAACTCCAAGACGCTTCCTCCCTTATCGACTAATCATATAGTTGATAGAATTTCTATCGACTACAAGATAAGCTATTTACTTGCTTCCTAACAGCCCTAAGCCAAACCACAGAAAAGAGGTACATTTGGTACCTCATCCTTCCTTTTTACGTCTCCCCTTCACTTGCCAACGATGCCCACAACCTTAACAATCCCTGTATTTGGGGTTAGGAAGGAATTTTCCCCAAGTTCAGATTGGCAGAGACCCTTGGGGCTTTTTGCCTTCTCTGCAGCATTGTGCACAGATCACTCACTGGTTTGAACTAGAGTAAATGGTGCATTCTCTGTAACTTGAATTCTTTAAATCAAAATGTGAGGACTTCAGTAACTCAGCCAGAGCTAGGTTCTGTGGCCTGTGATGTGCAGGAAGTCAAACTAAATTATCATGATGGTCCCTTCTGGCCTTAAAGTCTATGAATCTATGCCAGCTTCACTGTTCCCTTTATTTCCTGCACCTACTCCCATCTTCATGCCTTTTTCCATGCTGCCCCGTAGATGTGGAACAATCTCCTTCTCTCAGTGCATAAGGCCTCAATCATCTCCTTCCGATCATAAATTCACAATCATTAGTGAGGAACAAAAACAATGACCCTACATCAACCAACTGTCTTCTCCACCTCATTACAGAAGAGGAGACATGGAGACAGAAAGCACAATATAAAAAATATAAAAGCTACGACAATTCACAAGATGAGTCTCACATTTACCAAGTTTTGTTTTACACTTCTTAATATGTAATCTCCCTGTGGCATAGGGTTTTTGTTTTTGTTTTCGGGTTTTTTTTTTAAATTGGTTGGTTGGTTGGTTTGGGGGTGGTTTTTTGTTTGTTTGTTTGCATGTGTTAAATAGACCTGAGTAACTTTGAGCTTAGTATTAGCATTGCTCATATCTGAAACAATCCTATGAACCACAAGAGGTTCATCCCTATCACTAATCCAAATGATAATTTCCCAAGGACATTGTGACTAAACAGATGGAACCCATTACATCTGTGATATTAAATAAGCAGAGAGTTGGTCTATCCAGGAAGAATGCACAGCTACAAATAAGCACTCAGAATGGTCCAATTCTGCATAAGCTTCTGCTAACGAACCTTACGGTAACAGTGGTTCTTCAAGACAACGTACCCACATGGATTCTATTCTGTGAGCAAGCAGCGCATGCAGGCTAGATTCGAATTGTCTATCCTATCCTGTCTATTAGTATCATGCTTATACTCTAGATGCCCTCGTGTCCTCCCAAACAGAGGCCATAAAAGGTGAAGAGTCAAAACAACCCTCATTTTCTTTGCCAATACAGAATTACTGAACTGTAGGACTTTACAGGAGTAGGGAAGAATGTTGGGTCATATAGAAACCACATGGACAATACATCTCAAAGAACCACAATTCCCGTAGGGAAGTCATTGCTGTTTCTTCCTGAAGTAACTGTCTACATGGAATCTATTCTGGGTAACTAACAGACCATTATCTGTTTGCTTGGAAGTGGGTAAAAGGAGGATATTTAAATGATGACTGTGGAACAGCCCTACCAAAGAAGGCATCCAGCTATTGTGGCTGGGTGGATTTAATCTGGCTAATTGTATGTCTTTATACTCACTTAAATAATCTGAGGGGATATTGCCTGACCCTTTCCTGCAGAGATCATGAACCATGTAGGTGTGTTACTGAATTATTTTGTCCTGTCGGTGTAAAAAGACAGTGCTCTTAAAGCCACAAGTGTGTCAAGTTTAACTTTTCACAAGGATAAGTAAGGCTTGGGGAAGAGAACAGAGAGACAAATGAAGTGGTTCACATGAATTCTGAAACAATCTTGGGCAAGAACTTGGGATGAGGCTTGAGCATAACTTTATGAAACAATGTACATGGGGGACCCACCCTGAGGGCCTGAAGCTCCCCTACCCTTCATGCGGTTGCGGTTCAGGGCAGGGGTTCTCAACCTTTTTCTTTCAGAGCTTCCCCAACATGCTATAAAAACCTCCATGGCCTACCTGTGCCACAACTACTGGTTTTCTGCATATAAAAGCCACGGCCAGTCTTGGGGTAGCAAACAGGACAATTGCTGAGGGCACCACACCACAGAGGCCCA